GAGGAAAGATTTTCAGGGGGTTCAGATAAGGCGGAAAATGAAGTCTCAGTGAGCAGAGGTTTCTCACGGGCCAGGAGAACCTGGGCCGTGGAGCAGGAAGAACAGAGGGTGGGCCAAGAACGCAAACAAAGGAAGGCTTGAAGGAGCCACTTCCGGGTTTGTTGGCAGAAATAACTGAGGTCGGTGAGGACGGAAAAATCAAATGTCCCATTCTCAGGCCATCTGGACCCGTTATCCAACTCATACTGAGGCCATGCCACGTTACAGAAATAAATGAGACGCTTCGGCCGCAAGTCCTGGGACAGGCCCAGTTCAGCCAGATTGGTGAGCAGACACCCTAGAGGTGTGCTCCGGTCAGGTTTGGAATTTTGATTGCCCATGGTGGATTCCCAGTGGCCTCTAGGGGGTCCAAAAGCTAGCGTCCTAGCGATTTGACCCACGCCACGGACAGACGGATTAGACCGAAGGAGCTAGGGACATCTCCACTATCTCTGAGGTCTAAAGGAGCCTTCCTGGAAGGGTCTGGAAAAGGCGATCTCTGACCCGGCCGGGGTTTTCGGACAGAGACACCGGCGGGTGTGTGGCCACGGGGACGGCACGGGGGCTGGACGAGACTCACCGCTGATGTTGCCACTGGGAAGAGGCAGCCGAGATGAAGAATGAGGTCCTGACGGGTCCTGGGCCACGAGGAAGGAGAGGTGGGCACCCCGAGCAGTGGAGGGACGGCCCGATGAGGTGCTCGCACCTCCTGGGTTTCGGCACCAAATGTGAGGTGGCCCAGAAAAGCAGCGAAGAGAACAAAGAGAACCGAGTGAATCAGAAAGAAAAAGGAGTTTATTTGCTTTCTCGGGTGAGACCCACTGGCCCAAAAGGTGGGGCCGGTGAATTTTGCACCTCCAGGGAGGGAGGGGAATCTTTTTATTCAGGTGTTTGGTGAGTGGGGGGAAAAGGGGGGCCTGAACTGAGGAAGTCTCCACCACAGGGATCATCATGGCATTCAACTGAGAAAGTCTCAGCTGCAGGGTTGGTGGGCGGGATATTCAGGACGAAGTTCTTATCTGTGTGGGGGTATGTGGATTCAGGGAGAAGAAGCTGGTATCTGTGTCTGGCACGTTGAGTTATGAGAAATTCCAGAAGAAGTCCATTGTCTCATCACATGTCTGCATGTATCCGAACCTGGGCTCTCTCCGACCTAACATATTCCTTCTGCCTATGAAAGCCTTTCATTTTGTATAGCTCCTGAGCTCCTTTTTGCTTGATGGGATTCATGAGTACTTGGATAATCCCAATTTTATCAATTAATTTAGGTGAATTTTGTTTAACAACATAAGCAAAATATTTTTAACCAGTCTGAACATACTTGGATTTTTCCCCCCAGGACTTTTTGCAACTACTCCATAATTAAGGTAAACTTATTGTTTTCACCTTTTTGGAAATAATACCAGTAATAGGTGACACTATATACAGGAGGTATGAACAGATTTTATTTCTATTGTCAAATGGGACAAATGCGAGACTATTATTAGCATGACAATGTAGAACATTTACATATTTACTATTTAAATATAATTATTTTCATTACAAGTAGGTCATTTGGGGGAGAAATTGTGCCTCAGTCGTTTTTATTTATATTGTCTATGAATTTAATTTCAGCATGATAAAAATGTTAGGAAAATATTTGCTATAAAAAGGGTTATTTGATTCAGCTGATAAGTTGAGAAAGTAAATTGTTAGAATCACCCTTCAATTTTGAAACTAAAAAAGCAAAAGTTTCTCTATGTTGTTTTGAGAATGGACCTATCACAATGGTAGTAGCAGGAGACCTTGATCAAGCATGATGCATATGTAAAGCTAAGAGAAATGGAAGCGCATTTAAGGACTGTTCACCTGCTGCCTCTCACTGAAAATCAGGGATCCAGAACTGTATACGTTTTCTGACATTTGAGGATCATATAGTGCTGAATACGGAGTAAGGTACCTAGAAGAGAGCTATTTCTTTCCATTTACCACCCACTGCAGTAGCCTGAGGGTCACTTGGAGCTTGGTTTGGTAACATCAGAATTTCTTTGGCTGGCTGATTCCGCCTAGCCACAAAAAGACCTGAGTCCCATGGCCCCCAAGAGGGTCGTTCACTATCCCTAGGGCCCTGTGTCTAGTGAAGCACTAGCAGCCACAGGACCTGGACCGCGGGAGGAATCGAAAACCCTATTGTAACCTGAATGCAGTGGCGTTAGGGGGTGGGGGAGGGGAGGGAGTAAAGGCTCAGGGGAGGGGGGCAGGTCTCCAGGGAGATGAGTTAACTAGCGTCATTCGCCTTACAATTGTTTCATTGTTGGCTCACCCTGTGACGCGGCGGCCGAGAGCTATAAATGCTCAGTCCCGGCTCAGAAACCGCAGAAGCCTGGGGTTCCTGGACAAGCCCTGGCAGCCTGAGCCGTTAACGCCGGGCTGCTTCGGCCGCCCGGACGACCTGCGGTTTCCACCTCCGCTTTCCGTCCTCCCTCCGCAGAGTGCCTGCGTCCACTGACTCGTCTTCCACCTCTCCAGACAGAAAATACTACTGAAGTCATCGTTGGTCGCTGTACAAAGGTATCTATTTACTCGGTTGTAGTGCATTTTGGACTAGTTCCGACTTTGGTAAAGCTTCCCAAATACGGGTGAGGGCTAGTTAGAACGGAGAGGTTTTAAGAAATTTACGATCTCAGGAACTGAAAGGGAAGATAAAGGGGAAGATAAAGGGAAAGTTAGAGGAAGGAGGGAAACTGGGAGGGTAAAAAGAAGGGTGGGAAAGAAGAGGATATTTTAACCCTATATTTAAGATTCTCCCGCTTTAACAAAGCTATCGCGAGCTTTGGGAACGAGATTAGCCAGAAAATCTCGCGACGTTTTGAGTGGAAGAACGGGAGTTAGAAGTAACGGTAGAAATAAAGCAGTTGGTGGTGGTCTAGGCACGGGTGACGTTAAGCCCTTGTCGTCAGTATACTGCGGCTTTGGCCAAGTTTTCTACCTCAGGGAGCTGTAGATACTCCGACAAACTGGATCAACCGTCGGATACTCCGGATCCTCGCCTCTCTTCAGGCATGAGGCATGTGGAGGTGGAAAAGGCGCGCGAGTTAGACCAGCAGGTAAGCCAAAATGTGTTTAACGTGGTTTGTGGCGTAATGATAACTAACCACCGCCTTTTACTTTATCCTAGTTCCTGGTGGCTTGCGGGGGTGTTACGGTTGGCGGTTGGGGAAAGAAAGTAGGTTTATTAAACTTTGTGGAGGCTGCGTAGAGAAAAGACCTTCGGTAGCGGTAATGTTGTTTGTAACTGTTTCTTGGGCCTAGCTGTAACTCGGCCGCGGAATTGGCGGCTTTTGTGTGCTTGGCACGGTCATCAACTGACCGGTGATGGGATATAGGTTACGACAAAGCTTTTTTTTTGTATTGAGGTTAGCTCTCATTGTTCGGCTCTGATTTAGGCTCTGAGACGTCGTTCACATGTAGGTGGAAGGCGGTTTTCGGCCACGGAATGTGGGGTGAGGGGAACTGGCATAATGGCGGTAGTACACTAACAGAAAGCCCGGGCATGTGAGACTCCGGTTGGCAATTGACTAAACTAGATCACCAAATGGCTATCTTGCTCTCTCCTACGGGCTATTGCCGCTGGGTGGTACGGCAAATGAGGCTGTTTGCGGAGTGAAAAGTTTCGTGACGCAGAAAAGCGGAAAGGGATAGGGGGCGGTCGGTAAAATGGCCGTCAAGCGCTGCCTTTTACCAGTACCTACAAATAATGAAAGTTGGACCCTGGGTGGCATTGTTCTGGGTGTTACAGAGTGGAATTGCCTTTTTTTTTTCATTTTCAGTAATTGAATGGCCATTTTAGCCGGGGATACTGCGTTGTGGTGTTGGTGGGGGAGGTTTACAGTAAGTTGTATGTGTGAGGCATTTGACTCCGGAATTTACCAGGAAAAGCCTTTGCGTTATGAGGACAGGCGAAGTTTTTGTTCCTAACTTTGTTGTGCTTGAGAAAAAAGTTGAAGTAGGATAAAGCCATAGCTTGTTCTCTCTTCTTTTGAAGTTTGGGAGTGGGGATTAGGATATGTGATCTGAAAATAGGTAATAGAGGCTTGTTTTCCAAAGCAGGAAATTTAGATATCTTTACTCTGGTATTGCTTCCAGAGAAAGTCTCCAGTGAGTCCTTGAGACACTGTAAGTGAACTACCTACTCTTGGAATCTATCTTAAACATTTAGTAGATGGATTTGATTTAGGATAGCATTTGCAGTCTGTTTCAACTCATGAAAAGCATAAACTAATCACTAGACTTCTGCCACGTACCAAAAAGATGTTTTTTTAATTTTTTTTGTAGGGTGTGTGTGTGTGTTTTTTCAATCGAAGGGAAAAGAATTCAGTGCCCCTGACTGAATATCAGGTTTTAAAAATACTTAAGGCACACCAATTGAAAATTGCTGATGTAGGATATAAACCATTTACAAAAATGTTTGACAAACTTCTGAATTGTAAAACAAAGTTTAGTGACACAGATTATACATTTTACTGTGTAAGTTATTTGCAGAATTTGAAGGTCTGCTTCTCTTAAGGATATTTTCCCACTAATTGTTAACACGTGCAATGTGTTCAGGCTTAGTATATTAAAAAAACGTATATATAGAACATCTGATATTAGTATAGAGATCGCATTTGCAACGTTTTCTGTGTAGCTAGAACCCTCTTGTTAAATTGTGCTCTCGGTCATTTGAATTTAGTATCAAGCTAATTTAATCTGGAAAAGTTCGATAATTTAGAGTAATCTTAATTCATGGTTCCTGTAATTTGAAAGTATCTTGAACTTTTTAATGCAGTGTTTATTTACTTTGCAAACAGCTGGCAAGCTTGCTTTTTATTTTGGTGTTTTGTGCTTTTTAAAACTTAATGTTTGGCATGTATGATTATTGTACTGCTTCTAAATGGTTCTTGGTTGCATATTACATAATGCAATAGAACAAAGATCCTCTTTTTCCTATGATATTAAAATCCATCAGTGTAAAGGGACAGATAGGAATGGAGATTAAAGATCTCTTGAAAGTTTGGAACGTGAGTTGTGCCATTTAGTACCAGCAAGTTTTCTGTGCTTGTCTCATCTCCAAAATAGAAAAAATAAGTACTGTCTAAATAGTGTGGCAAATGACGCAGCGCTAAATGAAATGGCAAAGTACTCTCACTATATGATGGGTGGTGGTGTGGCTGCTTAGGAACTTATCCAAATTAAAAACAGTTGCATAATCTTCAGTGGGTAAAGAAATTAACCTTCAAACTGCCTAATGTTTTTCAGGTAGACCTTTAGTTTGGTTATTGCAGAACTTTTACTATGCATAGTTGTTACAGGAAAATTTGTTTCTAATGAACGTATTTTGCAAGTATACAGCACTAGAGGCCCAATGCACGAAAATTTGTGCAGTAATAGGTCTTCCTTCTCCCAGCTGGTGGCACCGTCTTCCCACTGGCACCCAGAACCCCAGCTGGCTTCCCTTCTCCAGCTGTCTGCAGGCACCAGTACCTGGGCGGGCTTCTCTTGGTCCACCCAGAAGCAGCCGGCTTTGTCAGGAAGGATGTCCGGTCTAATTAGCATATTACCCTTTTATTGTAGACTTTAAAAAGCATTGTTACAGCCAGAAAGGCAGACAGGGCAGATAGCCAGTGAATGCTACTTGGGTAGAATTGGATTTTAGACTTGATTTGTCTTTTGTAAGGCTATCTATACTAGACACTCACCCCAATCCCCAGCACACATAGTGTATCAACATGTGAACTGTTAACATCTCTCTCCTCCTAGTTTGCTGGTCTAGACCTGAACACTTCTGATAATCAGAGTAAAGCGGGAAGTACAGCAAGCAGTAAGTAAAATTTATTTTGTTGTCTAGAATCTTTATTAGTACTTAATGTTAATGTCATTGTAACTTTCTAATTTTAAGTTTAAAAATTTCCTCCTTTTTTACCTATAAATTTTGAAGTATTCTGGATAATGAACTGCGTGGTTCTTTTTTGAGAGGAAACAGTTAATCATGTTGAAAAAATATTAAGGTAATACATTTTTAGAAAACTTACCTCCAGTGTAAATTGTGGCCAAGCATGAAAGGGATTAGGATGTGTCTATTTCTCTTGTGAGTTGACCTGAAATGTGTTCTACCTAATAAAGAGAACTTGTACATTTATGTGCTATAGCTACTGCTATCATTTCCCATAAAGAACCAGAGACTTAATGATGTAAGTAGATTGTTCTGATTCTTAGATAGTAGTTAGAATTAAAATGTCAGCCAAGTTAAAACCTTTTGAAATGAGGATATTATGAAAAGAGGGAGGCACCCAGGACTTGGGCTTCATCCTGACATCTGGAAGGATGTCCCATCTAATTAGCATGTTACCCTTTTATTATAGACTTACTTACTTCTTTTTGAGACTTAATAGTTTAATGTTGGCTAGGGAAAGGAACTTGGTGGTTTATTATTTGGCAGCAAGATCTCAGCTTGTATCAAGGTTTACAACATGGGTTCTCAACCTGTGGGTCGTGACCCCTTTGGGGGGTCGAACAACCTTCCACAGGGGTCGCCTAAGACCATGGGAAAACACATACATAATTACATATTGTTTTTGTAATTAATCACTATGCTTTAATTATGTTCAGTTTGTATCAGTGAAATTGGGGGTCACCACAACATGAGGAACTGTATTAAAAGGGTCACGGCATTAGGAAGGTTGGAGTAGGGGTTAGGTTTACAAGAAGGCAATGGGTATTCTGAAAAGCCTTTTTTAATTTGGTTAATTCATTGCATATTGACTTGCTATTATATGGTTTAATTATAAGGACTGAATTATACTTAACACAAAAAGAGACTATTAAAATTTTGATTTTTTAGCTAATAGTTGACTTCTACTTTGTAGGTTAAGTACTTTTTTTTCTTAATCACAAGGTTAACACTATCAGTTCGTTTTTAAAAAAACATTTTTTGAATTCAGAGATGGGGGGGAGAGAGAAACATCAATGATGAGAGAATCATTGATCAGGTGCTCCTGCAGGCTCCCCTACTGGGGATCGAGCCTGCAACTCAGGCATGTCCTTTTGACCATGCCCTTGACCGGAATCGGACCCAGGACCCAGGACCCTTCAGTCTGCAGGCAGATGCTCTATCCATTGAGCAAACAGGCTAGGGCTCAATTCCTCATTGAAAGCACTTTTTCTTCCCAGCTATTATGTATTTTTATTGTATGATATTTTACCAGAAAAGAAATACTCTTTTGGGATAATTGAAAATAGTTAATTTAGTATTTTTTGGAGGTTATTTTGTTATAGTGATGGTAATATTTATTAAGTGTTATTGTTATAATTCATCTAACGATCTCCTGAAATAGAGCCTTTTAAAACATTTCTCAAATAACTAGTAGTAATTGCTGAAATGTACTTGGTTTGAGGATCTTTTTTAATCCATGCTCCAAACTTACTTCTCTTCATCCATTTGGGGTTGGAGTGTAGGGGTTTGGATATAAATTTTAACTAAGGCCTTAGTTGGTTTGGCTCAGTGGATTTTCTGTCAGCCTGTGGACTGAAGGGTCCTGGGTTAGATTTGGTCAAGGCCCCGTGCCAGGGTTTCGGACTTGATCCACAATAGGGAATGTTCAGGAGGCAGCCAATCAATGATTCTCTCTCATCATTGATGTTTCTATCTCTCTCTCTCTCCTTCTCCCTTCCTCTTTGGAGTCAATAAAAAAAAAATACACATATTTAAAAAAAAATTTTAGCTAAGGATAACCACTTTTTAATATATATTTTTAAAATTTTTAATATTGGTAATATTACATAATTCCTCCCCCAACCTCCAGAGCCCCCTCCAGCCTCAGGCCTTCATAACCCATTTTTATATATTTTCCCTATAGCAAAGTATTTAAAGAAAAACAGTTTTGAAAGTGTTTTTCTAGTATTTTTAAATAGACATTTTTATAAAATGCTGTGTTTTAGAGAATATGATAGACTTAATTTTACATTTTCTCTTCAGAAGGGCGCTATATACCTCCTCACTTAAGGAACAGAGAAGCGTCTAAAGGTAGGTGGTTATCATAACTTGAAGGTAACTTTGGGAAACAAATACACACTTTTTCTCTTGTGCTTCTTTATGTTTCCTAAATTTGAAAAGTTGATCTAACATTGCATAATAGGTTGTTTTTATTAGCATAATTTTACTATGTGCTTTTTCTTTTTTTTTCTTTTCTTTTTATATTTTATTGAGTTTTTACAGAGAGGAAAGGAGAGAGATAGTTAGAAACATCAATGAGAGAGAAACATCGACCAGCCGCCTCCTGCACACTCCCTACTGGGGATGTGTCCGCAACCAAGGTACATGCCTTTGACCAGAATCGAACGTGGGACCTCCCAGTCCGCAGGCCGACGCTCTATCCACTGAGCCAAACTGGTTTCGGCTATGTGCTTTTTCTATATTGATAAATATTGATATGATTTCACTTTGAAAGAGGTGTTTTTGTGGGGGTGGCCAATTATGTAAAACGACATGGCAATGAAGTCCTACCTTATTGCAGTCTTGAAATGTTGCCAAACTGAAAATGGGATTATTGCAGAATAGTTAGCAATTAAGATTACAATTTTGGGCACACTCAATAGGTTGGTGGGATTGGCTAGTATCTCCTTTCTGTCTGAACTTTATTTGATAGGCTTTGCCAAAATGTTATTAAAATTTTGATATCTTTTGTATTTTTAATGTAGAGTGGTGGCTCGTTAAGAATATATTGTTGGGTTATTAAGGACATATTGTTGGATGACAATTTAAGAGCTGTATATTTACAAGATAGGGATATGAAATTTTCAAAAAGGGAAAGTAAAGCCAAAAGGAAAGAAGATTGTTGATAATATAGTGTGTGTAGGTATAGTATTTTTGGAAAGAGATAAAAATTAAATGTAGATTATATTTGGGTATTATTCCTTCGCATGTAGTTGTAGTTTACAGCATGAAACATTTAAGTCTGTATGTGTTTACCAGGTGACCACTTTGCTGATGATAGAAATATTATTTTTTAAAGTAACGGCAGAGTTTTCTTTTATCATGAGTACTTTCATTGTATCTGGCTGGACTGCATCCAAAATTTAAGTGTTACAGAGGGACTTAGCAGTATCTTAGGAAATTAAGAAATAAAAGAAACCTAAAAAATAACAATCTTGCCTGGCCAGTGTGGCTTGGTGGTTAAGAGTTGACCTATGAACCAAGAGATCACTTGTTGGATTCCTGATCAGGGCACATGCCAGGTTGCAGGCTCAATCCCCAGTAGGGCACATGCAGCAGGTGGCAGTAGGTCTCTCTCATCATTAATATTTGTGTCTCTCAGACTCTCCCTCCTCTCTGAAGTTAATAAAAATTATTTTTAAAAGCTAACAATCTAAAGGCTATTGGTTAACTGGCTGGCCACTAAAGGAACCATAAAGCAGAGGGGAAGTAACTTCATTAATTTGTAAATGGCAAAACATTTAATAAAATGTTTGAATGTAAACTTAATTGTTTAGTGAGCTTATCCTTGTTGGCTTTCTTTTATTGGTGACTTCTGGAGTCATGTCCGTAGAGAAATAAGGCAGGGGTGGGAGTTTTCTTTTTCCCCTCTTACACCTGATTCTAAGATTATACAGATAGCACAATATTGTTAGACACGTAGAATTTGAAAAACAATATACATGAGTATGAAATACAATAAGCGTTCTTTTGTTATTTTGGTAATACTGAAACAGGAACTAGGGCAATACTGAAAGTTAATACCTAAAGGAATTAACTTTAAAACTTGGAGCATCCATGATGATAGATTGAGCAATTTTAGTTTCTAAATACAAAGGTTATTTACTTTTTAAAATATATCTTCATTGATTTCAGAGAGGAAAGGCGGGGGGCGGGGGGAACATCAGTGATGAGAGAGAATCACTGATTGGCTGCCTCCTGCATATTCCCCACCGGGGATCAAACCCACACACAGGCATGTGGCCCGGACCGGAATCGAACCTGGGACCCCTCAGTCCGCAGGCTGACACTCCATCCACTAAGCCAAACCGGCAAAGGCAAAAAAAGGTTATTTTTAATGATTTAAGTGGGTTATGAATTTTTAAGAATTAATCATCTATGGGAAAATCTATTTGCTCTAAATGTTTCCTTATTTTATATCTGTAGTTGTCATTTTATTTTATTAAGCATATTTTTACTGATTTTAGAAAGGAAGAGAGAGGGAGAGAGATAGAAACACCAGTGGTGAGAGAGAATCATAATGGGCTGCCTCCTGCATGCCCTCTGCTGCCCTCGTATGTCCTGGACTAGAATCAAAACTGGGACCCTTAAGTCTTCAGGCTCTATCTACTGAGCTAAACCAACTGGGGCAAGTAGTTATTTTAAATACTCAGGTGTAGTTTTTGTTTTTATTTTTATATACTTCCATTGATTTCAGAGAGGAAGGGAGAGTGAGAGTGAGATAGACATATCAATGACAGAGAATCATTCATTGGCTGCCTTTTGCATGCCTCTTACAGGGCATTGAGCCCGCAACCTAGGCATGCTGGGCATTTGCCCTGATCCCCTGATTCGTAGGTCCATGGTCAACCACTGGGCCATACCAGCTGTGCTGTTTCATTATATTTGTTAAACTCCCAGGGTGATATTCATCATTCAGCACATTGTTTTTAGATCTTGAGGTTACTTTGCTTAATACAATTTGTATAGGAAAAGAGGATTAAATATAGTAAAACAAAAAAACAAAACAACATATTTGATACAAACCAATTATTTAAATCTTTTTCCAATGGTTTGATAAAAATAATCTCATTGACATTTTTGTGTCTCTTTTCCTCTTCTACCTCACCCCTCATTAAGAGAGGCTAGCTGTGAATAACCACTTAGTTGAAGAGAGAGGAATTTTCATGAAAGTATTGTCAACTTCTAATTTTTGTTTTTTTTTACGAAGGATTCCATGATAAAGACAGTTCAGGGTGGAGTTGTAGTAAAGATAAAGATGCTTATAGCAGTTTTGGGTCTCGAGATTCAAGAGGAAAGTCCAGTTACTTCAGTGATCGTGGAAGCGGATCAAGAGGAAGGTAAATGCTTAGCTTGCCACTATGTGTACAGTAGCAGCTTAGGAATCAACTGTTTGATATGTTTTCATTCTTTGTACTTTCCTTGATCTTTAATTACGATGTTTTTTTCCCTTAATATAGACCATCTGTCTTTTTTTTTTTAAATATAGTTTATTGATTTTTTACAGAGAGGAAGGGAGAGAGATAGTCAGAAACAGCGATGAGAGAGAAACATCGATCAGCTGCCTCCTGCACACCTACTGGGGATGTGCCCGCAACCCAGGTACATGCCCTTCACCGGAATCGAACCTGGGACCTTTCAGTCCGAAGGCCGACGCTCTATCCACTGAGCCAAACCAGTTTCGGCTAGACCATCTTTCTGTTACAGATTTTAAGCAGTCCTTACCAGGTTTTTTATTTCTGATACACAAATTACACGCAATAAGAGCACACTATTTGACATAATGAATCTGTTACTTTTATGTAATTATGGGTTCTCTGTGGCAGTTAGACAATTCTAATGACTGTACCACTGTGAAAAATGGAACTTAAGATCTTAATATCTGCGATTAATCTTGTATAGTTTTTTTCCACAAATAAAACTAAAAACCTTAAGTCTTATCACATAAGTTGCTTTTCCTGTATATCCAAATATAACAGGATAGTTGACATTCATATCTTGTTTTCCTATTAAGTATATTTAGATTATTATAAAATGGATATGTAAAGTATAAGTATTATAAAACTTAGCATGTAAGATTTGTTTAAGTTGAATAAATAATTAAAGATGTATGTTATACAATAACCACTGATTAAGCAGAGTGTTATTTCACAAATGAGAATTAAAATTGAATTGTTGACATCTTTCAAAGGGATTTGAGAATAACAATTCAACTCATATAGGAGTACCTGCCTAAAAGGTAGTAATATGATATTGGGTAAATGACATACTCTGATCAATTGCTTGTGCTTTTCAGGTTTGATGATCGTGGACGGAGTGACTATGATGGTATTGGCAGTCGTGGTGACAGGACTGGTTTTGGCAAATTTGATCGCAGTGGACACAGTCGATGGGGTGACAGATCAGATGATGATGATTGGTCAAAACAACTTCCACCGAGTGAACGTTTGGAACAGTAAGTTTTTAAAATGTATTTTGATTGTTATGAAACTTACTATTTATTGTAACGTTATAATCATTTAATTTTAGGGAACTATTTTCTGGAGGAAACACTGGGATTAATTTTGAGAAATATGATGATATTCCAGTAGAGGCAACTGGCAATAACTGTCCTCCACATATTGAAAGTGTAAGTTGTATTGTTTTATTTTTTTTTCAATTCTGTGAGGTTATTACCAAAAAGGAGAGACTGAAATTAATGTCACCATTATGAGTAATCCTGGAGTTGAAAAATATCCAAACGTAATAAGAACTCAAAACTTTTTTATTGTACATTAGACTCAGAAATCTGTTTTCTTTATAAGTACTATGATACCTTTGCCTAAAATCAAAGCAACTGTAAATTCAATCACAACTCGACTGTTAGTTGTTTACTTTTGTATTTATGTTAGTATAAAACGGGTCTTCAAACTACGGCCCGCGGGCCACATGCAAATACAAATAATGTATTGTTCCTGTTTTGTTTTTTTACTTCAAAATAAGATATGTGTATTGTGCATAGGAATTTGTTCATAGTTTTTTTTTAAAGTATAGTCCGGCCCTCCCAACAGTCTGAGGGACAGTGAACTGGCCCACTGTTTAAAAAGTTTGAGCACCTCTGGTATAAAAGAAATTTCAGCAGATAAAGCATTCTAGTTGTATATGTATCTGGTTTACCTAGTTAAATTTCTTTGACAGTTCAACGATATTGAAATGGGAGAAATTATCATGGGGAACATTGAGCTTACTCGTTATACTCGTCCTACTCCAGTGCAAAAATATGCCATTCCTATTATCAAAGAAAAAAGAGACTTGATGGCTTGTGCCCAAACAGGTAAACACTCTTTATGAAGAATAAAAGTTAATTTTCACTCGGTTTACTCTAAAAATAATTATATATGGAATATAATTTGTCCTATTATGAGTTCTTTTGGAACATTATTTTGAGTTAGATAAAGATTAAATGGAGCTGTCTTTTTGTTGTTGTTGTTTCTTTGGTTCTTTTTATCCAAACTAGGGTATCTTGGGAAATTCTGTATAAAATTGTCATCCCTCACATTATTGTAACAAGGTGAAAATTTTGAATGCAGTGGAGGGAATATAATTGTAATAGGAAATATAATATCTTGGATGATCCTATGATCCATAAAAATGTGGGTGGGGAAAAGGTGCTGTCCATCTAGTATTTTGGAAATTGGGGAATGGGAGGGTTCAGGTAGTTTAATCTGTAAAACTTGAGTCATCTGTCATGGCTAATATATTTCCTTCTTTAAAAAATAGAATTTTTTTTTTTTAAGTCTAACTATGGCCTAGGACCAAACCCAACACCCGTTTTTTAAAATTTTGTTGAAACAGCTAGACCTTTAGCTTTTATTTTATAAAGCAAGACAGACTATCATACAAAGCCCTTTACAATTTAGATACTTCAGAAAGTTGGATAGTTTACATTTCAACAGTTTATAATAACAAAAAAGTATTAAAATGAGAGTTCATATTAGTATAGGCAAAATGGTTATCTTTGTACTAATTAAAATTCAAAGGAATGACTATTGCATTGTTTAAAAGGGATCACATGCCTTGACCACTTGTGGCTCAGTTGGGTATAATTCAGTGCAATCAGTACACCCTGACGTCCCTGTTCCATTTCCAGTCAGGGCATATGCCCAAGTTGTGGGCTTCATCCCTGATAGGGGACGTGCAGAAGACAGCGATCAATGTTTCTCTCATTGATGTTTTTCTCTCTCTCTTCCTCTCCCTCCCCTCTCTAAAAATCAGTAAAAAATGTTTTTTAAAAAAATGGATCACAAAAGTCATTTGGCATTATGTGCTTAGCTGTGTAAATATACCATATTTTCCAGAAAACTTATGCATTAGAGTAAATTATCTTTTATTAAAAGAACATTTGAAACACTTTATTAATATTCAAATTTAATATGCCAATATTTTTTTAACAGGGTCTGGAAAAACTGCAGCATTTCTTTTGCCTATTTTGAGTCAAATTTATACAGATGGTCCAGGCGAAGCTTTGAAGGCTGTGAGGGTAAAGGTTTCTGTATAAAACAAGTTATTTCTTTGAAAACATTTTGTAAATACTTGTTCAGATCTTTCTGTAAACTATACCAAATACACTTTTTTTACATTTCAGTACATTTTCTTTTCGGTTTATTTCTTCAGTGAAAACGTGGGATTTTTTAATTTTGTTTTGATCTGATTCTTAAAAGGAATATTTTGTTAGGACTTTTAAAAAGAGTAAAAGTTATAGATCTTTGGTTCTAATTTATAAAATTGTACTTATTTCATAGGAAACTGGGAGGTATGGACGCCGTAAACAGTATCCAATCTCCTTGGTGTTAGCCCCAACAAGAGAATTGGCTGTACAAATCTATGAGGAAGCCAGAAAAGTAAATACACATTTTATTGGTAATTGGCATTTTTATTGATTCTAAAGCCTTATGATCACCTAAATAATTCTTTTCTTATAGTTTTCATACCGGTCTAGAGTTCGTCCTTGTGTGGTTTATGGTGGTGCTGATACTGGTCTGCAACTTCGAGACTTAGAACGCGGATGTCACTTACTAGTTGCCACTCCTGGACGTTTAGTGGATATGATGGAAAGAGGAAAGATTGGATTAGACTTCTGCAAGTAGGTTAATTTTTATATATGGGGTATACATTTAAAAAAATAATGGTCATTAATTTTATAGCATTTACTAATATTTTTAAGATGGAAAGGTAATTTTAATATTGAAAATTAAAATTACTTTTTGTTTATTTTGTTTTTTTTAGATTCAATTGTTGATAAATTTATTGCCATTGTTGATATTTTTATCTTATTTTTCTTTTTAAAGAAGACTAACATTTCATGTATTAATAGTACTGGTTTGCTAGTGATGAATTTTAGTTTTTCTTGCATGGGAAGCTAGTTATATGTTCTTTGAATCTAAAGTAATAGCTTTGCTGAGTAATCCTGGTTGTAGGTTCTTGATTTTCATTATTTTGAATATTTTTTATTTCTTCTGGACTGCAAGCTTTCTGATGAGAAATCAGTTGGCAGTTGTAAGGGAGCTCCCTTGCAGTTAACTGCTTTTATTTTGCTGTTCTGAAGATTCTCTGTTTTTGACCTTTTGCATTTTAATTATGATGTGTATTGGTTTGGGCTTCTTATATATATGTATATTTTATTGATTTTTTTTTTTTTTTACAGAGCTGGAGGGAGAGAGAGAGAGCTATAAACATCGATGAGAGAGAAACATCGATCCGCTGCCTCCTGCACATCTCCCACTGGGAATGTGCCCACAACCCAGTTACATGCCCTTGACCAGAATCAAACCTGGGACCTTTCAGTCCGCAGGCTGACGCTCTATCCACTGCGCCAAACCGGTTTCGGAGGTTTGGGCTTCTTTAGATTCCTCTTGTTTTGGACTCTATGCTTCCTGGACTTGTATGTCTATACCCTTTCCTAGGTTAGGGAAGATTTCCATCGTTTTTTCAAATAGGATTTCAATTTCTTCCTTTCTCCTGCTTCAAGCACAAATGTTGGTACACTTATTAATGCAGAGGCTCCTTACATTATCTGCATTTTAAAAATTGTTTTATTGCTGGTTTGGTCAGGTGGGGTTTTTTTGCTTCCTTTTATTCCAAATTGCTTATTGGATTCTCAGCTTTATCTACCCTAGTGTTGATTCTCTGTAAAATATTTATCATTTCACTTGGTATATCCTTCATTTCTGTGACTGGTTCTTTTTTTATGCTGTTGAGGTTCTTACTAAATTCAGTGAGCATCCTTATAACCAGTGTTTTAAGCTCTTAACTTCCTAGGTTGCTTGTCACCATTGTTCTGTTCTTTCAATTTGGACATCTTTGTTTCCTCAATTTAAGCAGCCTCCCTTGTGTTTCTGTTGTCTGGCATAGGTATTAGGTAGAGATACTATGTCTGGCCTTGGTGTGGCCTAACATGTATACTGTAGGGTACAGTGGCACAGCCTCCCTGATTACCCTCACTGGGCACTTGAGGTGTGGCCCTCCTCCCCATGTAAGCTGTGTACATGTTCCTCTTGTAGTTGAGCCCTTATTGCTGTTGGCACATCAATGTGAGATAATTATCCTCATGTCAGCTGTAAGGACTGGCAGCAAACACCAATCTCCACCCACGATGGAAGATCAGTAATTCAGGGGCTAACCCCACAGAGCAGGACTTAATTTCAGCAGGGCTCTGGTGCCTGCTGAATTTACCCCTTGGGTGTGTCTCTGTGGAGATGATTATGTGGTGCTTCAATGTGGTGTGAAGCTGTGTACTGGTTGCACAGGCTTTGCGGCCTCCCAGGAGGTGTAGTCCAGGGCCACTTGGCATGAGATACAAAGTGATTTGCAGATGGCTACTACTTGTGCTGGGCATGGAGGTGTCTAGGTGGGTAAGATTAAGCTGTAAACCAAGCCTGATTGCTGTTAGTGCCTGTCCTGAGGCCAATTAGTAAGAGGTATGGGGCACACAGAGACCAAATTCTATTTGTTGAAAATCTGAAGCATGAGCCAACACATGCAATTCCTATAGAAAAGCTCCTAGAAACTATTTGTTGAGTCGGGGTGGGGCAGGCTTCAGTCATCTATCTGTGTAAAACCCTAATGTGCAAATTGATCTAATGGGGAACAACTGGTTGCTATGACATGACTGACCACTAGGGGCAGGTGCTCAATGCAGGAGCTGCCCTCAGCCGGCAGGCCCTGACTGGTGGTGGCCGCAGCGGGTGGGGCCAGTGAGCGGACTGCTCCAAGGTGGATGTGAGCTGGGGAGAACCCCCCATCATCTGGCTGGTCGCCTCATAGATCGGCCCTGATCTCCAGGCAGGCCTAGGGACCCTACCGTGTATGAACCACCAGAGCAAGTCAAAGAACGTGTTAGCCAGGTTGACGGAATTGTGAGCTTTGTGTGGAGTGATTTTCAGGGGAATAATAGCTAGCACTTAAGAGAAAATGCCTTACTCGACCCCAAGTGTTCATCCTGATGCCAAACAATTCAGTTCCTCCTTGTATGTCTCTGCTGCCTTTCAGGCTGCTGCCCGGTGCTGGAGCTC